CAATGCCCTTGCAGGTATCAGTCCAACGCTTACTCAACAGCACTACACAGATTCCTTTTTCAGCCATGTGTGCATTCTTTTCTCTACCAGCTCTTAACTTTTGTGACTCCTCCGACTCCCAATTCTTATTCACACTTGAGTTTTTCTCAGGATCTCCCTGCCATAAATCCCAGAGTAGTAAAAGCATACACTTGAAAGCCACCATTATGTTTTTATGACCCATTTTTATCATCGCAATTATTCATAATCAGATTCAAATTATGCTTTTGCCCTCTAGAGTAGAAACTTGATGCCAGGGATATCTGTTTTATTTTAGCTCCCTTTCCCCATTGCCTCATACACCGGATATCCTCAAAGTCTTTGCTGGCAAAGAAAGCAAAATCAAAATACTAAACATGGTCTAAATATGAAATAATATAGTTAAATATTGAACCTAGCATTGAGATAATACAAAATGTTCAAGAAGAGTTTATTTGGAGAAATTAAGGATAGTTTAGTAACTGGATGTATACATGCTAACTCAGTACATTCACATATTAAAAGAAATAAAAAAGGGAAGGGGATTAGATAAAATCCTATACTTGACCCAAGGTAAAGAAAATCTCTTGGTGAACCAGAAAAAGACCTGTTTTAACATGGTAAGTACCAGAGTCTAACACTGTACTCAACAATGAACCCTACAGACCAGGATGCCCCTCTTGGCACCATTAGCACTCAAAACTATAGAGCCAGTGCAATAGAGGCATAGAGGGGAAAAAAGTCAGAAAATGACACAAAGCTATATCCAGATGTTGACAGTCTCTCTGAAAAATCCTAGAAAACACACGCCACATGCTTAATAAGCAAATTTGGTCAGGTGAGTCATTATAAAATAAGCGAAAACATACAAACTGTGTTCTAAATAATGCAGTATTGGTGTGGTAGTTACAATACATCTATTGTCAATTTGAGACTTATGAGTGAAATGGTGGTTTGGCCTGTCAATCAGGTGACAGCTTGATGACCTCATTTGGAGGCACGAAGGAGATAAATAACTCATTGGAGGCAGGACACACCCTCAGTCCTTGCAAGACTTTCTTGTTGACAAGCCACATGGAGACAGGCTCATGGCAGCCAGAGCCTCGGAGCTGGAGAAACCACGTGGAGACCCCTGCCAGCACTGAGATGCTTCCACCATGACTGGACCCACAAGACTTGCCACCCACTGGCCTGTGATCATCCTGCATTCGGTATCATTGCATGTGT